GCCTCTTAAATTGTGTACTGCTACAGCTGTAATTCACCACACCATCTCTTGATTTCCATCAGCAGCACCACCAGGACACAAAGGATCAGATATGAAGTTAGTTTTAATGTGATCACTAATACCCCTCCTTTGCACTTGCTGAACAAACATTTGAATGGAATTTGATCTGATTTAAAGAGACGGGTTTGACTTATTTCCCCTCCTGTTTTCTTATATAAATCAGACCTTGTTTGTATATCTTCCTAAATGAAGTTGCTATCCAAGAAGTTCAAATCCCTTAGAGGAACAATATGCTAATCTGCAATGGTTCTAATTGATTTCAGTCTCTGCTCTTATTACTTTGCACTGTAAATGGCCTCCCAGTGGAGCATAATACTCATACACATATTTGGAAGTGCTTTCCTGCCGAGTATGATAATTTAAGTCTATAAAGTCTCATCAAACTGCTTACTGTTTCCAATTAGTGCAAAGCAAGTTCTGTTAAGCCCTGCATAGCTTTAAAGTATTATTTATTTAAATCTCATATACACACAGGCCCAGATCCTAAAGATATTTCCCAGTGGGAGGAAGCACTTCTGCCAGCAGAAAAGAGGAAGGAGATTTTCACTGATTCCGGCTCATACTGCTGTGTCCCTCCCAATCCCAGTTTTGTCTTGGGAGCCCAATAGTGCCCCACTGACCCTAAGGGCAAACTTTGGGTTGTATAACCAGCTGCTGTGGAAGGGGAGAGGCTGGATGGCTGAGTTCCTGTGTACAGTGCCGGGCGGCGGGGAATGGCTGGATGGCTGAGTTCCCGTGTTCAGTGCCAGGCGGTAGGGCACTATTGCCTTCAACCCGGTAGTTGACTGGGGAGCGTTGCAATGAGACTGGGGAGTTGTCAGGTTCAACAGCTCACAAGTCCACACACACTCTTCAGGGAAAAGTTATGCTTTATTAGAATACAAGTCCGTTGCCAACTGGTACAGGTACATTGTTAGGAATAACGGTTAGGGCTGAGGCATCAATACATATACTCTGATGCTGCAGTTGGCTAAGCAAATGAAACCCAAGCACGGGAATTCTCCCAGCGGGATATTACATCATGAATGGGAGACTCTCCTTGCCCCATGAGAGCAGAAATATTCACACCGGCAGTGAAATACAAGCCCTCCCTCCTCCTCAAGGTTACACAGATAGCACAGTCTGGCAGAGCCAGTTCGCACGGTCTCATGAGCGCCTCCCGTTAGTTACTCACAGCAATTAAGCAAAGTAAGTAAGCAATCATGCGCGCATGCGCTACAGTCGGGGATGAACGAAAACAATGAAAGCATGGCAGCTACATTGCAACAGGAGTGTTGCAATGAGACTGGGGAGCATTGCAGTTGAACTGGGGAGCGTTGCAATGAGACTGGGGAGTGAATATCAAATCAACCGCTGGAGGTGTGGAAAAGAAAAAAAACCCATGAAGCAGTAGGGACATACCAGTGATGATGAGCTTGAGAACGTGAGAGACAGAAAAATCTCAAAGCTTTTGGATTAGGTCTGGTTTTTTTCAATTTGAAAAAATTACATAAAAGCCTTCGGCTTTCTCTCTTGAAAGTGTCTTAGACGAGTCAAATGACTGGAGCATATTGCTTCTCTCTGGGACACACCACTGTTCCATAAAAGGACACTAATTTCATGCGAGTTGTATGTTTTAGGGGATAATTTAAAGTCGTCCCCCCTGTATTTGATGTGTTATGGATACAGAATGAGGATAAAGGAACAATTTGAAGTCTAAAAAAATACATTGGGGAGTTTTAAAAAATCCGAAAAAGATAAAAGGAGCCCCCGTAGCTTTACAAAACAGATCCCCTCAATGGGTGGCCCTTGGCTTGGTATCCCAGGCTTCCTTTCTGTGAGCAAAAAGGGATGGGGGAGGGCCCTTTCCAGCCTGTTTTGGCCTTTGAGGGAGGATTCATTGGGGCCAGGACTGACTAGGGGTGCCAGCTCCAGGCTGGGAAATTGCTGGAGATTTTGTGGTGTCGAGGAGGGCAGGGTTTGGGGAGAGGCCTCAGCTGCATCCAATGCCACCCTCAAATACGGCTGTTTTCTCCAGGGGGGCAGATCTCTGTCATCTAGAGTTAAGTTATAATTCTGGGGGAACTCCAGATCCCACCCAGAGGGCTAGCGACGCGTAGCGTCACATCCTGGTGACGGCGGTGCAACGCCTGTTGCCGTCCCCCGTGGCAGAGCTCCTGTAAAGAATGACGATCCCCCGCCGCGATTCAATGAGACTTGGCAGCCCTACCGGGGGAACTGATCTCTGTAGTCTGGAGATCAGTTGGAATTCCAGGAGACCTCCAGGCCCTACCTGGGAGTTGGTAACCTCCAGTCCGTCTTGTGGCACTTGGAATAAAGACCTCCTCAGACCTCCTCTTGGCGCCAGAGTGCTCGTTCAGTTGACGCTGCCAGGGAGTGCTTGCCAGGGCGGAGAAGGAGGAGCCTCGTTTTTCGCCACTTCTCCCTCCTTCCTGGGCTCCCTCGCAGTGCCAAGCGAACGGGCGCTTTTTAAGGTGAGTGCCCTCAGTGTACGTCTAACCATGAGTCCGGTCACACCCCCGTGACCCCACACGCATCAGGTCTATCGTGTGGCTTGGCCCTGAGATGGACTTCCAGCTCATCGCTGATGCTGTGAAAAATACCAGGACTCAGCTTGTATTGAGACAGGAGATGGAGACAAGGGCAATCATATTCTCATACTCTTATACCCCCAGTTATTCTTTTAAAATATTATTTTGAAGACTCCTAGTCATAATTTTTTTTAAAAAAAACTAAGATCATGGCATCCGGACCCATCACTCCTTGGCAAATAGAAGGGGAAGTCGTGGAAGTAGTGACAGACTTCACGTTCCTGGGATCCCAGATCACCGCAGACTGTGACAGCAGCCATGAAATTAAAAGACGCCTGCTCCTTGGGAGGAAAGCGATGGCGAACCTAAACAGCATGATAAAAAGTAGAGACATCACCCTGCCAACAAAAGTCCACATGGTCAAAGCAATGGTATTCCCAGTAGTCATGTATGGTTGCGAGAGTTGGACTATAAGGAAGGCCGAGCGCCGAAGAATAGATTCTTTTGAACTATGGTGCTGGAGAAGACTCTTGAGAGTCCCTTGGACTGCAAGAAGATCAAATCAGTTCATCCTAAAAGAAATCAACCCTGACTGTTCCCTGGAAGGCCAGATAATGGAACTGAAGCTCAAATACTTTGGCCACCCAATGAGAAGGGAGCACTCCCTGGAGAAGACCCTGATGCTGGGAAAGATTGAAGGTCAAAGAAGACGGGG